TGTGACAAGCCATTAGCAAAGCTTCTCCCAATAGATTATTTGGCAAATTTGATGGGTTCAACATACAGTTGACCATTTCAACAAGAGTTCGGTTCTTTCGTTCTGCCAAACCATTATGTTGGGGAGTGAACGGTAAGCTGCATTCATGTTTGATATCATTCTCTTCGTAAAATGTATTGAACTCTCTATTAAATATCCACCACCTCTGTCTGATCCAAGTATTTTGATTCGTTTTTCTAGTTGATTTTCCACTTCAGTTTTATATAAAAGCTTCAAAAGATTCATCTTTTGAGTCTAATAAGTATACATGTAAAAATTGATTGAAGTCATTGCAGAATGTAATGAAATATCTTTTTTACCTCCACTCATAAGTATTTCATTTAATTCGCAGATATCAGAATGAATCAACTCTAAAATTGATGTATTCCTTTTAACTGAAAGAAAAAGTTTCTTTATAAATTTTGATTTTACATAAGTTTCACATTTTCCAAAATCTTTGTTATCAATTTTAATTAATCTTTTTTTTTTTTTGCATTTTTTCCAGTAATTTTCACATTTTTATGAGCTAAACGTTTATGCCATAGAGAAATAAAACAAGGAAAATAATCCAAAGAATTAATTTTATTCATAACTTCAGGAATTACATCGATAGTGGAAACAGAAAAAGCAACTATTTCATCAGACACCACTAACAGATTACTACCCACTGATTCACTAGGTCTGCTCCCATTAGGATTGGAATCATCATCCCTCAAATTTATGCGATACATCCAACTGGTTGTATCCCTTTTAGATGAAGGTCTTCCTCTTGTAGATCACGATCTTCCCTGCCTCAATGTTGAGTCCAAACCCGTTTTCATCGAGTTTGCTAGCAGATACAAGGCTCTTGTTAATGGAAGGGACGTGAAGTACATTTCTTAGGGTGACAGTTTTTCTGAAAGTGAATTTGAGTAGCACATACCCATCCCAACGACATCCGTTTTGCCACCGTTCACCACAATCACTTGTTTTCCATCTCTGACTGGACCATAATCAACAAACTTAGATATGGAGTCACAAACATGAACCATGACTCTAGAATCTAAGTACCAACCTCCTCTATCGGGCATAATTATGGTAGATGCCTCATATATCATGTCAATCTCTTCCATAAAAGGTTTGCCACAAGGCGTTCAATTCCCTCGACCGTATTTGCAGTTGGTGGTCCGGACTTTCTTTGTTTGCATTCATGAGCATAGTGTCCTGCCTCTCTGCAGATGTGACACTTACTGGTCCTCTTGAAATGTTGCTCTGGATTGAATGGTTGACCCGATCTCTTGAAACTTTTCTTTTGTGGACCCAGATTTCCCTTTTTGGTTGGTCCTCCAGACCTTCCCTTTCCTTTACTACCAGCCTGCATGTCGTTAGCATTCAAAATAGACTTGCCTCTCTTATCACGATTACGGGTCTCTTCTTTGATTCATAAATGTGAGCAAATCATCCAAAGAATAATCTTTAGATTTCTGCATCATTCATTTTGAAAAATCCTTCCAAATGGGGGAAATTTATCAATGACCGCCCTTACTTGGAAGATTTTGAAAAGAGATATGAAAAACTGTTCGGTCACCTATTGATTTGGTGATGACCCACTGATCTGTTCCTCTACCTTAGCAACACTTAGTAGTTATTGGTTCTTTGTAAGTTGGTGTCTTGGTACATACTTAAAGCCATTGGCAAAATCGAAGACTAGCCGATGTGAAGACAGAAGGTCACTGATGCGGTGTTGTGGATCAACTGTCTAATATACACACCAAGACTCCGAAGTAGCTGAAATGCATATTGAAAATATTTTGAAGCTACAAGCCGATTGAAGGAAGATCTTCATAGACCGAAGATTGAAAATCTTCATGGACTCAAGATTGAAGATCATGKACCGAAGATTGAAAATCTTCATGGACTCAAGATTGAAGATCATGGACCGAAGATTGAAAATCTCCATGGACCGAAGACTTATGTGTAGCTGCTTGAAGCTACATATCCATCCAAAGGAGATCTTCCTACAGACTGACCATATATCTGCAAGGTTTGTCTCTGCATGAACTGTGTAAGTTTGTCTTTGCATGAACTGTGTTCTATGCATGCAATGTACGATGAAAATGAGATATCAACATTGGTCAAGTCAACCCCTGCCTTCTTATCCTCAAGTGACAAGTGTCCCCATGCATTAAATGCTGAAGGTAGTATAAAAAGGCAGTGTGCATCTCCCATGCAAACACTTGGCTTTTGAAAGATTACTTAGTGCACTCTCAAAGCAATCGGCTCTTTCCTTCTACTCCCTTGCTCTCCTGTGTGCGAAGAAATTCTTAGTGTTCTTCATTTCCTTTCAAGAACTCTCTGTGTTGTTCTTGAAAGTTCTTCTCCTTGTAAGATTGTTTAGGTTAGGTTTTCCTTTCCTATCTTCCGCAACAATCTTTTATATTTCTGTGTGTATTAATTCTTGATATAAATCAATAAGAATTAAAAAGTTGAAAAAAGTCTGTGTAATTGTATTCAACCCCCCCCCCCTTCTACAATTACTTTCTGTTTATTGCCTTTCCCTTCGGGACTAACAAAAACATTTTCAATTTTTTTACAAAAACCTGGAGCTTATGTACTTGCTCCAGGATTGGTTTGTCATTAATCATTTGGAATTCCAGGTATTGAAACACAAGGTATTTATAGTTATTTGTACCATTCTCTTGTGCCTTATACTTGAATTCCAAGGCTTTCTATAATTCTCTAGGATCAGTGATTGGAGAGTACAAGTCAAACCACCGGCCGAATAGGGCATTTTTTATGTGTCCCCAAGCCATGGTTTCTTCCTCCTCGTGGATTAGTCTCTGCTTCTCCAGTTCATCTAATTTTACCCTATCTGGTTATTTTCCTGTTTTAGGAACCGGAACATTTTGGTAGTGGACATATCCAAAGTGTGATGAGCGATCCTTGATAGTTGTTTATCCCTTATTATTTAATTTTACGTACTTATTTATGCATTTATGCTCTAGTGTTTGGGTGTAAAAAATCTTTCGTGAAAAAAGCAAAATATTTGTGCCAAACATCCCCCGAAGGTTGCATCTATAATTGGTATTAGAACGGGTTGCGGATTATATTTCCAAAATCTTTGAAACATTTTCATCTTTAAAGAAACGTTATATTATATAAAACCTCCATAAAACCTCTATAAAACCTCGAGTTTGACAAAAATAGCATAAAGATTCAACTTGAAAACCTTTTGTGAAAAAATCAAATTATTTGTGCCAAACATCAAAAGGCAACTGCAAAGATAAAGAGGTCGTTCTTTAAGCTTGAATAATCAAACTCATGAAGTATGTATCATGGCCAATAAAGACAAATGAGGTGAGCTTTTTTTTTGTTTTGTTAACTGTAGGTGTCCAAACCAGCTTGTGCGGCACCTTGACTAATCACAGGGACCTTTGGAGAACAATCAGGAAAATCCCTAGTGGTCTTGTAGGAATAAAGCTGATGACCTCTAAGGAGAATCCCCAAAGACCCAAGTCTTATTATCAGTTGAACTAACCGAATCAAATGAAGTTAGTTTTACTTTCACGTCTCATTGGATGATTGGGATACAATTTTTAATTAAAAAAACAAGATGGGTTTTAACTTGTTGGTGTGATTTCAATAAGGACGTGTCATCATGATATCGAGCTGCAGATGATGGGTTTTGAGGCTCTGAGTGTGTAAGGAAGAATCAAATGTTTATGGACGTCCGTGGGTCAAAGCAAGCAAAACAAGAAAAATATGTTGGTTGGTAACGTATTTTGGATAACTTTACCCTGATGTCGTATACAAGTATTTTGATCATATCACTTGTCGAAGCTGAAAATGAGACAATTCAAGAGGCTATGGAAAGATAGAGAAAATAACTACAACTTAATGACCCTACAAGACTTGAACCGGCCGCCACAACAAGTAAGCTATTACCTCAAGTTAATGGTACATATTTGTGCAATGCCTCAACAAGTCGAATATCAAAGCTAATAAGCTAGCTCAATCGTTAAGTAAAAGTTAGGTTTTAAGTGGTGTTCGAAAAAGCTTGCCGCAACAGCTGTCGTGGCGCGCCAAGGCTTAAGGCTTGTGTTTCACGTCACATTATGCCTGTGACACGCCATTGACCTAATGCACGTTTTTATAACGCAAGATTTGATTTTTCTTACTTTTTTTAATGTGTTATTTGTTAGTTTCTAATGTATAACCTAATTTAAATTATTTAATATCATTGACTCACTGAGTAATAATAAGAAATTATGTTTATATGTATAATAATTTATATGATATAAAGATTTGCCGCCATAAATCATATCTTAAAAAACACCGTGACCTCGCTGTGGCTCCTAAGGCTTGAGGCTTGACATTGCCGCCACACAACGCCTCGCCTCGCCTCATGCGATCTTTAACGTTGGTTTTAAGTGGATTCATTTAGGTAGCTCTCCTTTTCTTAAATGACATTAGCCTATTCCCAACGGCCAATGTTTGTAATTTTCAAAAGGATATTGTTTCTAAACATTAAAAACTTGGATTCAATTGTTCACGTTTCACAACGGTTTTAGTCCCTATGTTTAAACTTTTTTCATCAAGTCTAGTGAAATAAATGATATTTTAGTCATTTTATTATTTTTTTAGTTTTATATTAAAATAAAAAACATATTATATTTTTAGTTTTAAATTGTAAAAAACAAGAAAGATTACCACCATCTCTTATTTTTCTTTTTTTTATCTTTTTTTAGAGTTCAAAATTAAATATATAATATGTTTTTTTATTTTACTATAATAAAAATAATAAACATATCAAATACCCTTTATTTAATTGGATTTAATTAAAAAAATTATTGGCCGTTGGATAAAAAGACGAATGTTAGAAATCGACAAATGCTAGGGATGATATCGGCTGAAAATTGAAAATATTAGGGCTCACGCTCAATATTGAAGTTTACTCTTAATAAAATGTTAGGTGCACCATTCTTATTTCCAAACTTTGAAGAACTCCGTGAACTCCGATTTCTCCGATCAAATCTTCTTCCTCTCTATAAACGGACGAAGAAGGCGGCCATTAATATATGTGAAGGTTGCGTGCCTCATCATTTCTTTCGCAGGCAGGTCACTCGTCATTCATATTATTTGTTTTGTGATAAATTTGTACCTTTGTTTTATCTATGGGGAATCGTAATCAAGCCCTTTCCCCCAAATTTTCAAAAATGAGAAATTGGAGTTTCTGCCTTACATCTTTTCTTTGAAGAACCTGGGTTCTGATTTCTAAAATTAAAATTATTGTGGGGATGCTTGTTGTTTACCTAGTTCGTCTGTTATAGCTTACTTTAATTCTGGGTTTTTATCTTAAAACATTATTGACAAATTAGGTTCACATGAAAATAGAAAAAGGCATCAGGTGAAGTAAATGCAAAAATAAAAGCTAAAAAAGAGGCAATTCAGTGGATGTGGAATCATACGAGGCTTTTGATTTCATGACAAGTTGGTATCACATCTCAAACAGAATATGTAATCCCAAAGGCATTGAACCAAGAAAACCGAACTCTTAACTACGTTTTTCAACATGGATA